AACGCTGCTGTGTTTTGTAAGATGTGTGTAGAGAACCAGCGATCCTTTTTTGTTGGAAAGCTTAATAATAGAAACAATATTAATCCAACATAAGTTACATAAAACACTAGTTATGGAAAAAATATACAACTGTTCACTTCTACCGGCAGTCCTTATTTAATTACAACAGTAAACAATAATAATAATAGTAATAAGAGGCGGTCCGTAGAGCCCCGAACTGGAAAAGTCCGGGACTCGACGGACTGCATCACTACTGGCTGAAGGGGTTCATGGTGTGTCACGCTGTGCTCGCCCGTCAGTTTCAAGAGGCTCTCAACCAGAAGTCGCTCCCTAGCCTCTTCACTACTGGGATCACTCATTTGGTTCCTAAAGACCAGGTTACCACAGACCCGAGCAAATACCACCCCATTACGTGTCTAACCACAATATATAAGACACTGACATCCATTTTGAGCGCGAGAATCACTCGTTACCTGGAGCTAAATCAGGTGATATCACGCGCTCAAAATGGATGTCGGGGCGGTGGTCGTGGAACTAAGGAACTACTCCTCATTGACGCGGTCATTAGCAAAGTGGTGAAACGCAACCGTCGGAACTTCTCCGCCGCCTGGATAGACTACAGAAAGGCATTCGACTCGTGCCCCATACATGGATAAAGAGAGTCCTCGAGCTGTACAAGATAGACTGTACAGTGAGAGACTTCCTCGAGCAGTGTATGGGGCAGTGGAGACGATCCTTTGTCATCTGGGTGAGCGGATGATGGCTGCGGAGAACCACATAAGGATAAGAAGGGGTATCTTCCAGGGTAATTGTCTGTAGTCCAATCTGGTTCTGCCTCTCCCTGAACCCTCTCAGTACCTTACTGGAGGGACCCGGGAGAGGATTTCAGCTTCGGAAAGGAGGAACAAAAGTGACCCACCTTTTCTATATGGATGATATTCGCCCTCCAGTCGCTCCCATCTTATGGAATTGCTAAAAATAACTTGTGAATTTAGCAATTCCATTGGAATGGAGCTGGGGACGGATAAGTGTGCGGTCCTCCATGTTGAAAGGGGAAGGGTTGCAAACTCTGAGACGGGCATAGATTTATCTATGCCCGTCAACTTAAGGACCCTTTCCGAGGCTGAAACATACCGATACCTGGGTATGTCACAGAACATCGGTATCGATGAGGCTGGTATGAAACAGTCAGTTTGCGACGTGTTTTATGCACGCTTGACCAAAGTACTTAATAGCCTTTTGTCATATAACGGTTGGGTCATACCAGTCCTTATACCTTTGGCATACTCAGGTGGAGTCAGACTGAACTTAACGCCCTGGATAGAAAAGTCCGCACTACCATGACGTCCCATAGGATGCATCATCCGAGATCGTCGGTAATGAGGCTGTACTTGCCGCAAAAACATGGTGGGCGTGGCTTTCTGAGCGCGCTCACCATGCATAATCGTAAAGTGTGTAGCCTCCGTCATTACTTCCTGGCGAGATCGGATGATCCATTCTGTAATGACGTCATTTCTAGTGATAAAGGACTTACCCCTCTATCCTTAGCCAACGAGCAATGGCAGGACCCAGCAGTGCTTAGCATTTCCGACCGGGAGACCGTATGGAAGGAGAAAGAGCTCCACGGGAGGTACTACAGGGCTCTACATGAGCCCTTCGTAGATACAGTCGCCTCCCTCAACTGGCTACGTTTCGGTGACCTCTTCCGGGAAACCGAGGATTTTGTCTATGCAATACAGGATCAGGTTATTAAGACCAACAACTATCGGAGATACATCCTTAAGGATGGCACCGTCGTCGTCTGTCGAGCTTGTCGCCATCCCGGGGAGTCACTTAGGCATGTCATCTCCGGTTGTTCGGCGCTTTCTAACTCTGAGTACTTGCACAGGCACAACCTAGTAGCCAGAATTCTACTATTATGAATTCTGGCTACTAGGTACGGTCTCGTGGACCGGAAATTGCCGTATTACAAGTACTTGCCGGAAGCCGTGCTCGAAAATGACCGCGCCAGGCTCTACTGGGACCGGGCCATCATCACGGACAGGACTATTCTTGCGAATAAGCCTGATATTGTGCTGATGGACCGGGCACAGTCAAGGATATTTTTGGTCGATATTACCATCCCGTATGACGAGAACCTCGTGAAAGCCGAAACAGATAAGCAATAAAGTATCTGGAACTGGCTCACGAGGTGACCGACATGTGGGGTGGTATGCCGACCGAAATTATTCCTGTAGTCGTCTCTGCGAATGGGCTAATCCCGGTTAGCCTCTCTGGTCATCTGAGGCGACTGGGACTCCGTGACGGACCGCTCCGGGCTCAAATGCAGAAGGCGGTGCTCCTCGATACCGCCCGCATCGTCCGCCGGTTTCTTTCCCTTTCCCCCCCTAACCCTCGGCCGTTTGGTCTCCCTACCGAGGGCTCCCATCTGGTTGGGCTTTTATTTATTTATGTATTTTTGTATTTATTTTATTTTATTGATATTTATGTATTTATATTGTATTTAGGTATTTATCTTTTCATTTTCATTATATATTTATACATCCCAACCAGATGAGAAAACTATATAGATACCCCACATAGTAATAATCTATCCAGGCGGCGGAGAAGTTCCGACGATTGCGTTTAACCACTTTGCCAATGACCGCGTCAATGAGGAGTGGTTCCTTGGTTCCACGACCGCCGCCCCGACATCCATTTTGAGCGCGCGACATCACCTGATTTAAGTCCAGGTGACGAGCGATTCTCGCACACAAAATGGATGTTAGTGTCTTGTATATGGTCGGTAGACACGTGATGGGGCGGTATTTGCTCGGGTCTGTGGCACCCTGATCTTTAGGAACCAAATGAGTGATCCCAGTACTGAAGAGGCTTGGGAGCGACTTCTGGTTGAGAGCCTCTTGAAACTGTCGGGCGAGCACAGCGTTACACACCATGAACCCCTTCAGCCAGTAGTGATGCAGCCCGTTAAGCCCCGGACTTTTCCAGTTCGGGGCCCCTACGGACCGCCTCAGCTACGTCATCCGGCGTTATGATGACGGGGTCCATGGGCGTAATACCCGCACACTGACTCGCCACAACTTCCGTCCAAGGGCCCTCGTTGTGGTTTACGGGCTCTGACCACAGGCTGCGCCAGAATGCGACCGTGTCGGCCTGATTTGGTGCAGGGCCCGTTCCACTTACTATTGGTCACTCCAATGATTTATAGAGCCTCTTCTGATCACTCTGGAAGAGACGATTCTGGTTGAACCGTGTCGACCTCTCGGTATATCGCCGAATCCGCTTTCCCCAAGCAGCTATTCTTTGCTTCAGGTCGTCTATGCGCTCCGTCAGTTTTTGCATTATATCCGGCTGGGAAAAACTAACATTTGTCCCAGCGAACGCCATCCTGACGGTGCGCACAATCCTTGGCCTGGTATTGCCTGACCTGAAGCATATCAGTCTGCGGATGAGGGCCCTAGCCTTTGCGATACGTTCTTCAACTCTTATTCTCCAGGCTGGGATAGCACTACTTTGTCCAGTAGCGCGTCCAGCCGTGGAAAGTTTGGTGCCTATAATACGGCAGACTGCTAGTGCGGCGCCAAAAAGAATTGAGTCCGTCTCGCAAAGGTCCCGGCTGGCTTCCAAATACGTAACCAGCATTGGGTTCAGAGCCCTCACGACAGCCCGATTCCGCTTGCTTAGGGCTAAGCGGGGAAGTCGCGGTCGATTTTCGAGAGGCGTACTGCGCGTTTCCACAATCGCCTCTTCCAATGTACTTCTCATTTGCTCTAGTTCCAGTTCCTGGGCGACTATTCCATCATCGTTTAAATCAAACACAACTGGCGTATTCACGGCGGCATCCACATTTGCCGTTTGCTCAGCAAGTTGTGGCGCCGCATCCTCAGCCGCAGCATTTTCACCCGATGAAGGGACAGCCTCACGTCGTAGCCGTTCGAGTTCGGTGACATGTATGGGGCAGTGGAGTACGATCCTCTGTCATCTAGGAGAGCGGATGACGGCTGCGGAAAGCCGCATAAGGATAAGAAGGGGTATATTCCAGGGCGAATGTCTGAGTCCAATCTGGTTCTGCCTCTCTTTGAACTCACTCAGTACTTTACTGGAGAGCTCCGGGAGGGGATTTCAGCTTCGGAAAGGAGGTACAAAAGTGACCCACCTTTTCTATATGGATGACCTCAAATTATTCGCCTCCAGTCGCTCCCATCTTATGGAATTGCTAAACATCACGTGTGAATTTAGCAATTCTATTAGAATGGAGCTGGGGACGGATAAGTGTGAGATCCTCCAGTTTGAAAGGGGAAGGGTTGCTAACTCTGAGGGCATAGACTTATCTATGCCCGTCAAATTAAGAACCCTTTCCGAGGCTGAAACATACCGATACCTGGGTATGTCACAGAACATCGGTATCGATGAGGCTGGTATGAAACAGTCAGTTTGTGACGTGTTTTATGCACGCTTGACCAAAGTGCTTAACAGCCTTTTTGTCCGGTGTGAATAAGACACATGCATTTAATGGCTGGGTCATGCCTGTCCTCATGTATACCTTTGGCATACTCAGGTAGAGTCAGACTGAACTTAACACCCTGAATAGAAAAGTCCGCACTACAATGACGTCCCATAGAATGCGTCATCCGAGATCGTCGGTAATGAGGCTGTACTTGCCGCGAAAGCATGGTGGGCGTAGCTTCCTGAGCGCGCTCGCCATGCATAATCGCGAAGTGTGCAGCCTCCGTCATTACTTCCTTGCGAGATCGGATGATCCATTCTATAATGACGTCATTTCTAGTGATAAAGGACTTACCCCTCTATCCTTAGCCAACGAGCAATGGCAGGACCCAGCAGTGCTTAGCATTTCCGACCGGGAGACCGTATGGAAGGAGAAAGAGCTCCACGGGAGGTACTACAGGGCTCCACATGAGCCTCACGTAGATACAGCCGCCTCCCTCAACTGGCTACGTTTCGGTGACCTCTTCGAGGAAACCGAGGGTTTTGTCTGTGCAATACAGGATCAGGTTATTAAGACCAACAACTATCGGAGATACATCCTGAAGGATGGCACTGTCGACGTCTGTCGAGCTTGTCGCCATCCCGGGGAGTCACTTAGGCATGTCATCTCCGGTTGTTCGGCGCTTTCTAACTCTGAATACTTGCACAGGCATAACCTAGTAGCCAGAATTCTACACCAGGAGCTCGCTCTGAAATACGGTCTGGTGGACCGAAAATTGCCGTATTACAAGTACTTGCCGGAAGCCGTGCTCGAAAATGACCGCGCCAGGCTCTACTGGGACCGGGCCATCATCACAGACAGGACTATTCTTGCGAATAAGCCTGATATTGTGCTGATGGACCGGGCACAGTCAAGGATATTTTTGATCGACATTACCATTCCGTATGACGAGAACCTCGTGAAAGCCGAAACGTATAAACGAACAAAATATCTGGACCTGGCTCACGAGGTGACCGACATGTTGGGTGGTATGCCGACCGAAATTATTCCTGTAGTCGTCTCTGCGAATGGGCTAATCCCAGTCAGCCTCTCGGGTCATCTGAGGCGACTGGGACTCCGTGACGGACCGATCCGGGCTGAAATACAGAAGGCGGTGCTTCTCGATACCGCCCGCATCGTCCGCCGGTTTCTTTCCCTTCCCCCCTAACCCTCGGCCGTTTGGTCTCCCCTGCCGAGGGCTCCCATCTGGTTGGATCTTATTTAATTATGTAGTTTTTGTATTCATTTTATTTTATTGATATTTATGTATATTTATCTTTTCATTTTAATTTATAATTATATATTTATAGAACCCAACCAGGTGAGAAAATTATATAGATACCCCATAATAGTAATAATACTAATAATAAAAAAAATGGCGGACGTTGTCAAAAGTAAATGATGCAGTCAGTACAAAATCTTAAAAATGAATTTTTGTAGCATATGTTTCAAGTTCCCAAATAATAAATTCTCAACGAAAATAGATTTTACAATATCAATATAAATAAAACTTTAAAAATCTGTGGATAAGAAACTAATTTCAAGTAAAATGTATTTCTTTCAAATTGACAACTGTCATCTAAGAAATTTTACAAACAGATTTATAAAATATTTAATTTAACTTTACATTATGCATCGAACGAGACGACAAATACGAATAAATACCGCCAATACCACAATCGCACACGTGACATCGCCTACGGAGGACTACACATCCATGTAATGTAATCGAAGAGGCACAAGAAGAACCCCCCGTACCATCTTTGCGGGGACGAAGAGCGCCAGCGGCTGGCTTGGGACCTGCAGGAATTACCATCCTACATGAGGACCCCGCTACTGATGGTGTAGTGCGACGACGGATGCGCTGGACTAAAGAATTAAATATAAGTATTATGCGCGCGTACTATAAGGATACCAAAGGAGGAACCAATCTTACATCTTATCGCCCTAAAATGCTGTCTGAATTCCAACAGCTACAACCCAACCTAACAAACTTAACTGCCCAAAGACTTTCAGATCAAGTACGTGTAATTCTAAGTCGTACGATTTTGGACGACAGATTAATTGAACAACTTTGCAGTGAGTACTCAACATGTATTATTTAATTCCTGATTCCCAACGAACACTTCCAGGTGAGACTGATGACTTAAATGTAAATAACAGTATACATAATATAAATATTACTAACTTAAATAACGAAAAAACCGGCCAAGAGCGTGTCGCGCCACGCTCAGTGTAGGGTTCCGTAATTTCCCGTCCGTCACAATAAGTGTTCCCACTTATGAGTTTGTACAAAAACTGTTGTTTCCATCCAAGTTCAAAATGATTTTCCTAGAAAGCCCTTATAAAGTTCTACTTTTCAGATTTTTTTCATATTTTCTAAACTTACGGTTCAAAAGTTAGAGGGGGGTGGACACATTGTTTTTTACTTTTGGAGCGATTATTTCCGAAATTATTGACATTATCAAAAATGATTCTAGTAAATCCCTATTCATTTTTAAATACCTTTCCAACAATATATCACACGTTAGGGTTGAAATTAAAAAAAAAACCACTTCCCACTTTACATATAGGGGGGCTACCTTAATAAAACATTCCATCATATTTTCCAATTTTTATTTTATCACTTTTTCGGATTGATACACATATTGGTACCAAATTTCAGCTTTCTAGTGCTAACCGGTCACTGAGATTAATCGAGGACGGACAGACGGGTAGACAGACATGGCGAAACTGTAAGGGTTCCTAGTTGACAACGGAACCCTAAAAAGTAGAGCAAAATTGTTTTGATATAGATGTGAGTTCCCAAGACAGCGAATATATGAAAAGAACTTTCGAGTGTTCCCTTCTGGAATATAAAAATACACCAATAGAAAATAGACCGAAACTACCTAAACTTCCTAACAACAAAAAAACTATTCTAACAGTAGCATCAATGAATATTCTATGTAAAGATTATTTTGAAAAAAGTAACTCTATTTTGGAAACTATGTCTCTTCTATATTGTTATGCCCATGCTATATGTATGATAATGAAAATTCCTGTCATTTCAGTACAAAATTTTAAGAAAAATAATACAAGAACCTAAATGGAAACAAAGAATTCAAAAACGAATTGACAATACTCGCAAAATTATAGGAAAATTAATAAGCTACCAAACAGGTAACAGACGTAAAAAAATAATTACTTTAGTAAATCAAATCGCTAATGAAAATGATATTAGCCAATCAGAGCCCCATTTGCACAAAAACAAAATTAAAAGCATGGGCCAACCGTATTAGACGAAATTCAGAAAGATCTTAACGGTACTTCCAGAATCGCACATTCGAAAGTAACCAAAAGTGGGTGTATCGGTCTTGGGAGAACACTACAACTAATATTTGTACTCATGGCAGCCCAAGCTTAAATGAGTGTCTAAATTTTTGGAAAAGTATGTTGTCTAACGAAGTTTGTCATAATGAAGGCGAATGGATTCGTGCATCCGAACGTAAGTTTTCTATTTGGCTAACATGGGTTCTATTTCAATTACTGCTGAAGATGTACACTCAATTACTCGTAGATTACACAACTGGAAATCACCTGGACCAGATGGTATACACAACTTTTTGGCTGAAATGGATAACAAGTAGCCACGTGCGTTTGGCTGCACAGATTCAAGAAGCCATTGAGTGCTGTGAGCTCCCGAGACTTCTTACAACTGGTATTACCCACTTACTATATAAAAATGGAAACACCACGGAACCTAAAAATTACCGACCTATAACATGCCTTTCAACTGTATACAAATTAATAACTGCAATTTTGAATAACAAGATCTATGAACATTTGGAAAATAATAACATTCTTTCAACTGCACAGAACGGATGTCGGAAAGAGTCACGTGGTTGTAAAGAACTTCTTCTCATTGACACAGCTATTTGCCGACAAGTCTTTCGTAATCGCAAAAATATGTCCGCTGCTTGGGTGGATTACAAAAAGGCATATGACTCTGTTCCACATTCATGGCTAAAGAGAGTTTTAGAAATATATAAAATAGATGACAAAATTTGTAAGTTTTTAAGTAAATTAATGGGTCAGTGGAACACTGTCCTAAATCTACCAGGTGAGTGGCAAAGTAGTTCGATAGACTCTATAAATATTAAACGGGGTATATTTC